GTCCATGTCAATGCCTTTCTTTCCGCTCCTTCAGAATATCCCTGTTGACCATATCCATTGGCTGTGCCTGCGGCACCTTCGTTCTCGCCGGCTATCTCTTCCGGCATCGTCGCGTCAAGGTCTTCAAGGTGGCCAGTCCCATCTTCCTGATGATCACGCTCATCGGCTGCGCCATCATGTATCTGGAGGTGAGTACTCGGGTCATTTGGGACGACGCTCTTAACCCCTTAAGGCGGCTGAAAGCGCAGGGAGGGGACAAACACACAAAGGCCATTTGAAAACAATGTTGCTAATGCGACAAAAGGCCCAACGTGGTCGGCACGCGCTCATTCATAATTAACCCACATGTGTGTTCCCGGTTTGGTCCTTATCCCACTTTTATTTCTGACGGTAAAGGGATCTGCGAACAATCCACAACATAAAAGTTTCACTTATGGGTTTTTAAATGCGGCTTTTAAGCACTTACTTCTCGAAAGGGTATGGAAGGTTTGACGGTTCAACATGGCGGATGAGTAATATTTATTTCTTCTTTTTACAGTTTTCAGTCATTTAATAAGTTTTTTATTTGATTTAGCTTGTTAACTAAAGTAGTTGACACAATTGTCGGTCTTATAATAAAAAAAGTTAATTATTCTTTATGTAAATCAAGCAGAAATATGTTTTGTGTTTTGTTATTTTTAAGAAAATTTTTTCATAAGACTATAATCTCATTATATCACTAAAAAATTAGTATGATTTTTTTAACTGGCCCTGTTTAAATTAAATTAATATTTCAATAATTAAAAAAATGCTATGAAAATAAAAGGTGTACGATTTTAGCTAAACAAGAGCATACAGCTGTTACCTGATGGAAATTGTTGGCTTCCAGTTCCCCTTCCTCTTTTTAACAATTAGATTGTGAACATTAGCTAGCCAACAATGCTAAGCCCCCCCGTGGACACATTAAACCAAGACCGCCCTAAAAAAACACACACACACAATGCCAACACTAGTAGTTTCAAACAAAAACGACAAATGGGTTAAGAGGTTGAAATGAAAGAGAATCTTAATGAGTTGTGCGGAAATAATATTGTTACCCGATTTTCTTATCAAAATGAACAAATGAAAATTGAAAACACAAAAATTTTTTTAAATTGATAGAAACGAAGTATGAGCAAGAAATCACTTAAGAAACAAGATGGGCATTCAAATGATAAAGATTCTGAGGAGGAAAATGAAGAGGATTTGCATAATGCGATAATGGAAATGGTCAGGACTCCCGATATAGACGAAAGTCCAGGGACGAGTAGACGCCACTCCGAGTGGCAGGATCCTCCAGAAGGAGGTAAACGTAGCAAAATGTCAACCCGAAAAGTGATTCCAATAGAGCAAGCTGAGCAAGGGTCGCAAACAGGAGAGAATCGTGAAAAAGCTAAATCATCGAGACCTGAACATGCAAAACTGGAAAGCGATGACAGTTGGGCTACTCTGCTCATAAAAAGGTTTACCAGGGCAAAGGACACAAAAACTGTAAACGTTCCGCCCAAAAGTAATATAATTAAAAGGGACGAGGCAAATCCTACTACAAACATTTCATTAAAGGATGGAACGGAAAATATAAAATCTTCCACAGAAAGTTCAAATGAAAGTCTCGTACGAACAGAACATTATGGTTTTTCAAAATCAAAAACTGGAAAAACCAAATCCAGTCAAAACCAAATAAGTGATGGCGAATCAGGGGAAGAATCGGCTGAGTTTCTTGAGAAATTGCGAAAAATTGAGGAAGCATCCAAGCCCAAATCTTGGAGGAGGCCAAAACCAATTGTCATACAACCAAAACAGGTTTCTTCCACCACTAAAATGAAAGCGGATGAAGTGGAGGCAAAGCCACATCCGGATAACGAAGAAAAGCATAAGTACATAAATATTTTAAAGGTTCCATTTCATCGTAATCTGATTTATGCTGCAGAAAATGAGACGATAAATCAACCGACATTTAATCAAACACCTGAAGATCTAGATACTAGGACATCAGACCCTCAAATAAGACCACAAAAAACTGAAGAAATGAACGCGGAAACACCTGAAAAAAACAGTGCAGAAAAGACTTTCGAGAATTCCGAGCAAAAAAAGCATGCTAATAGCGATTCGCAAAGAACTCTCACAATCACGGGGCACTCGCATATTACCACAAAATGGCAAGACCACTGCCACTTCAAGGACTCGCAACACACTGGAGTGGATAAGCCCGCCAGACGGAAGCTTATAGTCGCCTGTATTCTGTGTTTCATTTTCATGATTGTCGAGATTGTCGGAGGCGTTGTTTCCAATAGTCTGGCCATCGCCACGGATGCTGCCCATTTGCTAACGGATCTGGCCTCGTTCCTCATCTCTCTGTTCGCCTTGTATCTGGCTGGCAGACCCTCGTCGGAGCGGCTCAACTTTGGATGGTATCGGGCGGAGGTCATCGGGGCCATGATATCCGTTTTCTTTATCTGGGTAATCACAGGTGAATGGTAAATATTGTCCCCGGAAGATAAAATGCTTAAAACTTAACAAGTTTTAATTTCATTACTCGTTACTGCTAAAATTGAAGAGGGAAGCTTTTCCTATCGTATAAAGTAGCAGGATCTAGTCATGTCCGTCTGCCCGTCCTTATGAACTAGGAAATTGTGGAAACTATACAAGCTAAAGATCCTATGAGCGCTAGTTAATTTCAAAATTATTTAAATCAAAACGCTTACAAGTTCCGAAACTCTTTATAGACAGTTATTGGGCCGTAAATTTTGAATTTAAATCTATTGACACAGCAAAAAATGTTCAAATCGAACCACTATTTCAGTAATTGTTTTTTACTTTTATGTTTTCTAAACTTTCCAATTCGTATTGTATTTCCGAATCGGTAATTTGAATTATTCTCAATATTAAACCGCTCATACCATCGCAGGCATCCTTGTGTATATGGCCATTATGCGGTGGGTAAACCAAGAATTCGATCTGGAGGCCAAAATTATGCTGATCACCTCGGCTTTGGCCATATTATTTAACATAATAATGGCAGGGCAGTTGAGCCACGGGCACTCGCATTTTACTCCGGGCAAGTTCAAGCGATCAGAGGCAGTTGAGTCGCAGCAAATGAATGAAGTTGACTTGGGCTCTCAAAAGGACCTCCTATTGATGGGAAGGTCGGTGTCTGCGCAACTCCCTGTGAAGGGAGAACAAAACATCAATGTGCGGGCGGCATTGATCCATGTGATAGGGGATCTTATCCAGAGCATTGGGGTTTTTGTGGCCGCATTGATTATATACTTTGAGCCGAAATGGGCCTTTATGGACTCCGTGTGCACGTTCGTCTTCTCAGTGCTGGTTCTTGTGGTCACATTCAAAATATTAAAGGACGTACTCATGGTCCTGATGGAGGCCACGCCGGACTACATGGACTACGAGGAAGTGAAGCGAACATTTCTCTCCATTCCGGGTGTAGAGCATGTCCATAACCTGAGAATTTGGGCCCTGTCCATCAATAAGATTGCTTTGTCCGCCCATCTGGCCATCTCCAAGGATGCCGATCCCCAGCTGATCCTCGAAGAGGCCACCAAACTCATACACAAGAGGTACAGATTTTTCGAGTCCACCATCCAGATTGAGGAGTTTTCGCCGGATATGAAGAACTGCGAGCAGTGCAAGCGTCCTTCGGTTAAAACGGAAGATCGAAGGCCTACCGACTTGGAAGGAGGAGTAGGCGGTGGTGACCGGAAAAAAGATACGGAAAATGGTTTACAAATTCAAAATATATAATGTAAAATTATATATATTTTATTACCAAACAATAGATTATATTGTTATATGGGTTCTGGTTAAATTTCTACTTTTTCAAAGCCAAATTATTAACTACTTAGTGTGAGTGTCTTTCCTGCGCTATTCCATCTTTCTCAATTACAACCGCATCATTGTTTAGTTGTGTTATATGTAATGCCTTAAAATTGTATTTATAGATGGTAGCCATATTTCCCTATTTGGACACTACTTGGTGTATTGCAACCAAATGGACACGGCACATGGGTTTTTGCATCACCTACACTTCGCTGCTTATGAAAACTTGGCGGTAGGTCTACCTTTATAGTGACAAATTCAATTTTAGGTTTTTAATTGATTTACAGAGTTTCGTTGACTTATCGCGTCAAGTCGGCACACAAAATAAAACTTAATGACCAGCAACTGTTGCAGTGGATGGTTCCCATTCTATTGGTTATGCTTATCTACTTGGGAACTTGGACAATTTCGGCCACGCCGAACGCTGAAGTGGTAAGTGGTGGCTTGATATCTTTGAATAACATATAAAAAAGCACTTTGGTATCCTTTTTGGCAATCATTCAAAACAAACTTTTTAAATGTTCTTGATAATACATATTTGGATAATATAGTATCTATATATATATATATATATATATATATATATATATATATATATATATATATATATATATATATTTTGATGTTTTACTTTGAAACACACTTTCATCAATATCATCAATCATCAATTTTTCCAGATCTTAGACCAGAGCCGATTGAAATTCAAGCAATGCTCTTACAATTGGTGGGATCACAGTTTGGCCATCGGAGAAGTATTCTTTTTGGCCTGGGGCATCCGGGTGTGTTATAACGTGCGGAATGCAGAGAGTTTGTACAACGAGGCGCGGCTCATCTCGTATGCCATCTACAACATCGCCCTCGTCAATATCGCCATGGTGGTGTTCCAGTAAGTATACTCTGAAAACAATGTTATGTTACTCATTGGCATTCCACGGATTAGTGAATCGTCTTCAATGGTTAGCTAAAAGGTTTTAAATGAAATGATATTCAAATAAGAATACAAAAGTTCTCATAAGAATGCTGGATTACTAGAGATTGCTGTGAAACAAAATAAAGTTTTGTTAAGAAAATGTTGGCTAAGAAAACCCAAAATCATCCCAATCCGACGATCCATTCAAGTGATATTAAATGTACAAATGTAGGGCAAATTAAATTTTTTGATGTTTATGAAGTATTTTTTTCCAAACTGAACAGTTGGTTTGGATTGAGACATATCCGATTTTATAAAGTATATAAATTAGTAATCAGCATCACCATCCAAGTATATCTAGCCATTTTCATCTGTCTATACATATTTGTTTTTATAAAAGCATTTTTCAGCTAAATTAAATAAACCTATTTTCTGGAGGTCTCAAGCGGAAATTAATTATTTTAGATTGACTGACCTAAGCATTATTTCTCACGATTGCTGTTGTTATGCTCATATAATCGCATAAACTAGCGTTTTAAATGTTGTCAGTTCAATAGAAAAAGAACAAAAGGTGTAAAGCTCACATTTAATTGCAAAGGGTCTTTGTTGTTGTGCCCATGACTTGTCTATATCAATGAGTTTAATAAATGAGAAAACTATTCTGAATATGGGGTTGCTTGTAGGGCCTCCAGGAGAATCCAACTTCGAAGTTTGGCAACATTGGTATAAACGCCTAGGGTTCCGCTGTTTAAGGAAAAGTCGAAAATGCCGGCCAGCTCGTACCGCTGGGGATCATTTCGCAGGCGACAGGCTAGCGGAGAACCAACCATGCCATCACCTATTGTATGTCTTCCAACCGCGCACATCAGGCTGTTGTCGAGCTGGAAACGGCTTGCGTAATCTTGCCAAATTCGGTCCTGGCACATATCGCCGGGAATCACCTGGAACTCCAACTTCTTCAAAATGTTCATGTTGGTGTATTCGTTAAAAGACTGGTAGCCCCAGCCACTGAAGATGCAGTTATCAAAGTTATCAAAGTGCCAATCCTCCGTTGGCAGGCAGATTGGGTTAATGTGCCTCGTGATTCGTAGCGGTGTTTTAAGGAACAGAAGAGCAACATTATTGGCTCCGGTTTGTCTGTTATACTCAGGATGACGAACAATCAACCGGATGCCAGCGTCAACATGAGACAGTTGCTCGGTTTTCGTTCTAAAATCCCATTCGCCAGCCCGGACAATTAGCTGGTTTGCGTTATAGTTATGGCTTACGTCACTGGCTGTTATGACCACATCGGAAGAGATCAGGGCGCCGCCAGCCACATATTTGCGATTTAATTCGAGCAAAGCCACCATCCATGGGAACTCGGCCTCCTGGGCCAGGCCTTCTAGATCATCCATAGCGAAGGTCACGCCTCTGCTGTTGGTCCATCCGCAGTCGGGGCTCACCGCTGCATTGGTGACCACGGCTGAATTGTAAGGCTAAAATTTCATCCAAGAGTTAGTTCACTCGTTTACATAACCGCATACTATGGCACTTACATTTATATCTTGATTGCGACAGCAGATGTTCGTGGATGGGCATCCATAGTTGCCTTCTAGTAGAGTCGTGAAACCCGTATAAAAATGGCATTGATGACGCGGTACGCAGCTGTGGGCTCGAGAGTAATGGCAATTCTTTCCAAGAACTTGGTAAGTGGCCAGGAGAAGACACAGTATTGAAAGTATTTCGTGCAGACGACGCATTCTTGTTTGTGGCGAAATAGAAACTGCGGTCTCTCTCAAATGATAAGTCGCCTTTTAAGGCATAGCTTCGACTGCCCTCTTGATAACCTTAGAACAAAAAAACAACAAACAAAACAAAAAAAGCAATAATTTTACCATTAAAAGCATTGTTATCAGGGCTGTACCTATTAGCATTTGCATTGATTTTTAATTAACGCTGTTTAAAAGCTGTTATATCAGCTTTGGTAAACTTCAATATCAAGAAACATGCTGTGCTATATATATATTTGAATTTTAGACATCAACAACAAGATTTTCCACAATGGCCCTTAAAATAATGTGGAAAACATTTTTTTGTTAAAATATTATTCTTGATTTATTGAAATCTGCCCAAGATCTTAATCGAGAATGAAAATAAGAAGCAACAAAACTCAGAGTCCAAATCTGAAAAACAAATTTTAACTTTTAACTTTATTATTTGTTTGAATTATTGTTTTATATTATATGGGATCCATCTCTTGAGTTGCCTACAACCTATAGCAGCAACGCATTGTAAGCTGTTTTTTAATTTTTTTTTTTTTTTTTTAGTTTTTTCTTTATAAAATCGGACGACTATATAATAAAATTCTTATGAGAACAATGGAAATCTAAATTTTTTTTTAACATTTTTGTTTAATAAATCAGAATTACGCTTTAAATTTTGTTCATGTCGAAAGACGTTTGCTTGTAATAAAGCTGCCATCAAATAATTGAGCATTTAAACGCATTTAATTCGAAATTTACAGTTTTAAAGAATATTTGCAGGGTATATAATCGATGGCTTGCCGAAAGTTACTTAATTTAAACTTAAACTAAGAGCTTTCAACGTACATCTTTAGAAATGACTTTCCCCTTTGTTTATTTTGATCTAAAGGGGAATGCCCAACTGAATTGAATTATAACAGTTGACACTTGTTGGGTAATCCAACGAACTGGAGCACAGCACGCGTCGCGTCCATTAGGGGAAATGTAAAGCTGCCCGTCTTACGCGGCGCGCTTTTAATTAAATTCCTTTGCTTTGTGCGCGCTCGTGCTCGCACTGTAATCCTTTTTGTTGGCCTGGAAGGACTCGTATGCCGGTCCCTCACTATATGGGCTTCCATCTGTCTGCCGCTTTGTTTACATAGACATTCCTGGGCATTCTCTTCGGCTTCAAGTTGTCTGCTGGTTTGATGCGTTTCGCAGCGGAAATCCCTTTGATGAAGTCCTTATAATTAATGCAATTTGTTGAAAAACTTGCTGTGCCACGCACCTAAACTCAATCCACATCTGGTTGGGTTAGTATTCTAGATAGTCTTTCTTTCTTTTTTCGTTTATAAAAATTAACCAATACATTAAAAAAGCGAATTTGTGTTCCCAAAAAGCTACACTTTAACTTTCTCAAACAGATGGAAAGTCAAAACCCTTAGTGACTTGCAATTATTATTATTCTGAGATCTTGTATAAATTAATAAATTATTTTTTAATTTCTTTCCCAACAGTGTCATGCTTTTTCCAAACGCCGGACCCGATTACAAATATATGCTGGGATTTGTGCGCACCCAGCTTTCGACGACCACCACCATTGCCCTTGTTTTCGGGCCAAAGATTTTGCGAGTTTTGAAGGGACAGGGCGACAAGTGGGATCAGAAGGCCAAGGTTAGGAGCATAACAGCTTCTTTTTCCCTAAATGGAGTGGGTCTGGTCCCAGAAGAGTCGCCTGATCTATATCAGGAGAACGAGGAACTTAAGGTAAGCTATATTAATAAAGAAAATAAATGTAAAAGTCAATCAAATTGCATCTTTCGTTAGGAACAAGTCCAGAAGCTGGCCCACCAAATCGAGTTCATGAAGACTGTCCACATGCAGATGAACAACAGGCATCTGAAGCCAAAGCCTGGCGGATATTTTACCATAACGTCAACCTCGTTTCAAGCGCCCTATAGCAAGAACACGGTTTCCACGGCGCAAACGCAAACTGGCAAAGATGAGACCAGGTAAGTCATATACTCAAATACAATTTGGTAAAAACAGAATGGAAAAGTAGTATTTACAATAATTTTCCATAAATATAATATTATATTATCTGCAATTTTAGTTTTCATTTTTAATTAGAACAATATAAATAGTGCAATTCAAGTGTGTTTATGAAAACCAACATCTTTACTATTAATATAAGGTTTTTGAAAATACTTTCATAACGACAAGTGTAATTTTAAATAAACCAAAGTAATAACTTGTATAAATACCAATAAATTTATAAATTTTCCAGCACGCCAACCAAATCAAAATCGCCCAAGGGCAAAGTCTGACGAGGTCAACGAAGTGTTAAAGATTGCTCAATAGAAGTGGATGAGGGGCAGGGCAGCACCAACGTGTTGGAGGATGCCATTGAATTTGATTTCCACCAAGCAGAATCGGAGGAGATGATTACCCTGAAGGGAGAGCAGCCAGGATCCGATGAGGCGGCCTTGATCGCCCAGTTCCGCCGCCTCTTTGCGCCCATTTTGGATGACAGTTTGAATCTGTATTACCAACTCAACGATTTGGATGACGCGGAGCACGTGAGGATTCATCAAACGGTGGCCCAGTTGCATGAGCTAATCAGCAGCGAGGAGGAGACGATGGTGACCCAGGTGAACAGTCCATCGCCGCCAGTGGAGGTGGAGCTACTGCTGCCACTATCCAGCAACACATCCACGGCCAGTAGCTCCCTGTATGCGATCCACACTCCATCACCGGCTCATCCTAGCGGTCTGCTCTTGATGCCCTCAAACTTGGAGTCACCAATGCTGTCCAGCAGTGATGCCATCACGATCACCGAGCAGGTGCAGCTGCATAATCCTCCGTACCATATGCAGGTCCTCGAGGACGAGAACAACACATCCTGTTCGCTGTCATCGAATCTGACGGACAGCAAAACCCTGGATGGTCGTACCCCCATCGTGGTGTAGTGGATTTTCTCCCCCGATCTGCTTAACTTGTGATTTTGTTTACACAGTCTTAGGAACAACAGCAAACAGTTAGCGAAAAGTAAAACCGCTTAATGTTTAATATAGTCTTAAATAATGTTTGTGTGTATGTGTCTGTCAAAGTTGTTTAAATATTAAATGCGTTTATGCGGAAGAGAATATATTTAAATTCATGCTATTTAAAATCTTGTGAATAATATTCCCAAAGTTTTTTTATTTTTTTAAAGAAACCAAATATTGTAATAAATATCCCACCAATTATTCAAAAATTTTTTTGATTTCAAAACATTTTCATTAAATTTGAAATCAAAGAATTCACAAGATATATTCATTTTCATTTAATTCCTGTTTTAAGTGAGAATTATCAAACGCTCAATACTTTGTTTTCCGGCGTACAACATTTACAAGCTTCTCATTAACTTCAACTTTCCTACCGCATAAACGCAATCTTAATGCATTTGTTAGGTTGCCTAATTTTTGGCTTTTTAACCCCACATAAAACCATTTTCCCATCATCCATGATCTCATAGGTTTTGGAAAAAGGATCAACATTGAGCAAATTTTTCTCACTTCGTTCGGAGCGAAAAAAGGGAAGTTGTATAGGGAACGATAGACAGCCAGATGGTCCGATGGAACTCAAAGAGTTCGTCGGTAACCCTTAGGGACTTGGCATTAACAAATCTCATTTATCTCTCATGCACCTAGCGAAATAAGTTGAATTTTCCTTGTTCTCTCTGCACTCATTCATAGAACAATTATTCTTTGCTATGTAGGTAAATTTACATGATTTTTATCATCATATGATCAATATAAATTACCATCTAAGCTTAGCAAAGAGTCGATTTTAGTGTACGGAAAGACATATGCATATATACTGATATAAAAAATAAATAAATTGAAATTTTAGCATACTATTTTAAGATGTGAAAGTGTTAACAGACGCGCAATTCTTCTTCATACAGTTGGGCAATACGTATAATGAACAGTATTCAGAAATAACAACATAAAAATAAAAGAAAATCATAAATGAATACCAAAATCTAACAAATTAATAAAGTAAGTTAATGTTAAATTAAAATATTGAAAAGGAAACAACCTGACAAGATCAAAGACATATAAAAAATAAATGTTTTAAAAATATTAAAATATTTTCTTGTTTCATTATGGAAATTCATAGAAATCTTGTACTAAAAACGCATGTTCTAAAACAGTGCAATAAGCTAATGATTTCGAAATGAATATATTTGTTGAAAGTCTATACATTCATTTGACACAAAAATATTTTACTTCAGACACCCTTTTCCTTAAACTACAAACAAAAACCCTGCCATTTCACTATACTATATAAATTCTTTTTTAAGTTTGTACTAGAGCCCAAAATTTTTCATGTTGAGGCAGGAGCTGCTGGACGAGGAGTTCGAATGCCTTCGTCGAATTGCACTGGCCATTTGCCATACCCTCGGAAGGCCAAAAGATCGTGAGATATGCAGGAGCACCCTGGACGAGCTGGTCAGGTTCCATCAGAGTCCAGCGATCAGGATCAAGGAAAATGTGCACAATTTCATGGTGTTCTATCTGAAAGTACTAAGATGGACCCAAAAGAATCAGCCCCTGGATTTATATCGCCAATGGGTGAGTAATCAAATGGTAAGTAATATAAATTTAAGTTTAACTTCATTTTAGTATGGACAAAATCTTGGTAATGATAGCAAGTATCCATCATTGGCTGCCGATTCTACTGGTGAAGTGCGAGTTTGGCTGGAGGAGGGAAAGTCCTTTTATGCCATGAAAACATTTGAGGATGGCTCCACCACCGTTTTTACCGCAGTGGCCAAAGATCCGAGGGCCGGTTGGTCAGAATATGGCCTGAAAACATTGATGGAAACGCAAAATGGTTGTGCTCTTAGCCAAAGTGATAAATACTGAAGTAGCTTTATCTAGATATGTATATATTTCGATTGTTTTGATTTTTATCTTGAGATTTCGTGTGTATTAAGGGTGGACTTTTGTAGTTTATGGTATTTATAAGACAGGTCGTTATTTCTAACAATTAAATATAAAAGCGATTTTCTTTTTAGCCCTTCAGAATTTAGGTAAAATTTTTTGCGTATGTCACAACAAAAAGTTTTAAAATTAATAAAAGATTAGTTTACGCTTTTATAAGGTTTAAAATTGACCTGCCGCGGAGTTCTATTATCTTATCCTTAGTGTATACAAGCGCGTATAACATTTTAACTTAATTTTAGACATCAATAAGTGGACGGATTATATTGCAGCTATCAAAATGAAATTCAGTTTAAAAAATAATACAAATGGAGTGGTGAAAAGGCACTGTTTTCTTATTTTTGGTGAAAGAAAGTCCCACTTTCCTATTAACTCCTGATGATCCTGGAGATGGCGCCAATTAGCAGGAAACCCAACAGAAGCTGCAGAGATCCGTGCATTTCGATTAGACTGGAGCCATTGCAGCTGTCGCTGGAGCAGTAGCACTCTTCCCAGTAAACGCCGTTCTCGTAGACGCCCCAATTACAGACGCCTGTCACTCCGGTATCGGAAACGGAGGCACACCGTCGGATGACCTGACGCCAACGACCGTCCCCTATGGAAAATATGAAAAACATTTAGTTGACAAAGTTAGCTAAAGGTTTTTAAAGTCGTTAGATTCTCCTTTGATTGGTTTTATCTCATAGAAACATCAGCATTCCACTGATCTAATATTATTTTACATTTATAAGCAATTCTATCATTCTCTTAACCATGTTTAAAGCTTTAGACTTATTTTTTTGTCTTCGTGGTAAAAACGTTAAAAACGTTTAGCTCACGATGAGGTCGAGAAAGATGGTCTTAGTCTTAAGCTAGCGTGCTTTTTACTAGGAACTAATAATATAGGATAAATTTATTCCTATAAGGACTGTACGTCTGTCTTGCAAAAAGATTCGAGGGAAGGTTAGAAAAAAAAAGCGACATATAACTACTATGGTTAGCTTGGACTTAATCAAGTGCGTTTTTTACTACTATCACAATAGCCATAGCCCCTCAGCCGTGAATAAGTCCTATTAGAAGTTAAGTTGCCCAACTCACAGATAAATCCCCTGGGACCCTGCTGCACGACCTTCATGCAGAAGGATCCTGGCATGTGGCTCTCGTCGCTGTTGCACTCAATGGAGATGTGTTCCGTGCGGTTGAATCGCTTGTAGGCGCCGCAACTGTCGTGTCCTTTGCGGTCCTGGTCCGAGGAGCACTGGAAGCATCGAATGGCCAGGCTGCCTGCAAAGATTCGCTGATTAATTCCAACTGCTCTGCCCGAAAACACTTGCCAAGCCACACCCAAAGCCGAGATTAAAAGGTGGCAATTGAAGTGTTTACGACTGCGGCGTTATTACCCACCGCAGATGGCCAGCGTGAGGAGCAGAAAGGCGCAGCGGGTCAGGGCGGTCATTTTCAACTTAAAACTGCTTTGTGCGCTTCGCTTAACTTAAATAAAATGCGATTAGGCCAAATAAATAACAAATAATGTGGACTGATAGAGATGGAACAAAAATCGATGCTTCTTCGATAATATCGATGCTTTGCCTGCAGCTATCGATAAGGTTCAACCGGTATGCGCAATATTTCGAATAACTGATCGAATTTTAACTACATAATGCATTACATTACAAAAGCAACTAAATTATTTTAATATATCTGGAGATGCCGATAAAAACTACATAGTATGCCGGAAATTAATATCTAAAACAACAACATCTGCAATTGTACAATACGTTTTCAAAGATTCGTTGGCAAATTACTAATTATTAGTATTATGTGGCAGTTACAAATCAATTATTATTTAGAATGACAAATAGAAAAAAAAACTGAAATAGCATTTTAAATAACCAACCGATGGCTTTATGTCTGAACAATATTGCCACCCAATTTTGTTAATCAAGGTTATACACCATGGTTCGTGTCTGCGATAGAGGCTGCGGTATTATTGAACATTTCTGCCGCGGTCACACTGCTATTTACACGCCCAAAATTTCAATCAATTGAAACGCAGCGAAAAACCCAAATAAAACGATGAAATCGCTGGAGAAATGTGTGCTGGCCGTGCTTGTCCTCTGCTGTCTGCTGCAAGTGGGTGAGTTAAAGCCAAAAATTGGAACTGCGCCTGCGCAACCGTTGTTGACCCAATGAAACCCGAAAATGTGCTACTTTGCAGGCCAGGCGATCAAATGCTGGGATTGCCGCAGCGATAACGACCCGAAATGCGGGGATCCCTTCGACAACAGCACCCTGGCGATCACGGACTGCCAACAGGCGCCGGAACTGGAGCACTTGAAGGGCGTGCGGCCGACGATGTGCCGCAAGATCCGGCAGAAGGTGCACGGGGAGTGGCGCTACTTCCGCAGCTGCGCCTACATGGGCGAGCCCGGAATCGAGGGCGACGAACGCTTCTGTCTGATGCGCACCGGCAGCTACAACATCTTCATGGAGTTCTGCACGTGCAACAGCAAGGACGGCTGCAATTCGGCGGGAGTTCATCGCCTTGGCTGGATGGCAGTGCTTTCCGGAACACTCGTTTCCGTGCTTGTGGCGCATCTGTTGCGGCAATAGTTGGAGCGTTCTTCGTCCTCCACTTGTAGCCAATGCCACGCCTCCTTTGGTCGCTCCTTTGAAACAAGACTGTCTTGACTCTAAAAAAGGGATTTTACAGATGTTAAAAACACAAGTTCCAGATCTATATTGCATCATATAAGCTAGGGACAGCAGTACAGAACCTAGGATCCCATGCTTAATATGATTTGTTTCTTTCTTTTAGGATTTGATTGATATTTTTTAAATTGAAGAACTACAACAGCGTTTTTTTAATCTGGCGAATCCCTTTTTTAAACTACGATAGTCTTGCAAAAATGAGCGATGTGTAATCAAGTGCCTTTCTATAAACGACTCGAATTGTAACTTAAGCTTGGAAACCTTTTTCCGTCCACAAGTATCTTACGCACGTGACATTCCTTATCTCATAAGCTCAATCTTGTAATCTCCACCCTCTACTTGTATTTTGTAACGTGTTTTTACAAAGAAACCCCTTAGTTGTAGTCGCCAGAAGGCTTACAAGTTTTTATTGTAATGCAAAGACAATTAGAACATTTTTGTAATTGAAATAAAAGATTTACACACTAATTATATAGTTATCGTTTACTTGTTTGACATTATTATTTTTAAAAACTTTTTTACAACATTTTAGAACTTCCAAATAATTTATAAAACATTACCATTAACAAAATTTAGAAAAAAAATGATCTTCACAAATTTAATAAGAGAAATACGTCAAAATACATTTGTCCTGGCGATGAAAGCTTAGGGAACCACCAAATATCGGTAACAATATTCTCTTGTACCAAGAAAATACTAAAAAATAAAATATTTTTGGATTGTTATGATTTTCTTTCTTAAGTTAATTAATTAATTTAGATGAATGTATGAATAATTGTCAGATTACAAAGCTCTTATCTATAATTAATTTTGTTTGGGACAGCATATATGCTAGATTTTTTAAATTGCTTAATCTGAGTAGAAGCATGCAGGTCTGCATTGTCGATAAAAGCCTCGCCGTGCGACTTTTTCTCCCATCTCTAATTCCTTCTTCCTTTCCTTTCCTTTCCTTTTGTTCGTCTTGTGCGCGTGGCTCGGATTTTAATTTGTTAATTGTTTTTAATACGAACAGCTAAAATGTTTAGGATTTTATAGACAAAGAATCAAAAAGTGTTTTTTAAGAATTGTTTGTGGGCGTTTTGTTTCGAGCCTTGGTTGTTTTTTTTTCCAATTGCGAAGTATTTCAAGTTCCGTTGTCGCCATTTTTTTTGTAGACTTTGTCCGCAGTATTATTTATGTTTTTGTGTCTAATAAACGGTAACTAATTTGAGTGAACACTTCTATTGGACTGATGGATATCGATTTCGACGTTGACCACGGACTCATGTTTACGGACGATTTTCTTAGCACTATTATGCTAAACTTTGATCAGATGCGCATGGAGCTCAATAACTACAACAGGTATTACAAGAAAATCCTTTGGAGCGGTTAATATTATTTATTATTGTTATTTAGCTCTTATGTGATCAATTATGCAAAGCACATATGTACATACAAGGCATGTCCGAATCCCTAAATAAACCTTTTGCATCTTTCAATATCCGTATGAGATATTGCACAGTCAATATTGCTATGTACATTGTACATTACATTGTACATAGGTGAAACCGGAATCAAAATAGTATAGTAAAACATATACATATTTGTTTAACAAATTTTGAATTGTGAATCTAAATTTGTTCCTAGGGTCAAAAGTTTTTTTTGGTTTTTTTTCCCTTTAACAATTTTAGATATTTTTACAGAATTTATTAAAAGATCTACCCTTTTTTGTTGTTAACAGAAATTTTTTAGATCTGAATCGCGTTTTTCTGCAATTAACCGTCGCTAAAAATATCTCTAAAGTATTTCGAGTCAAATATTCAAAGCCAAATGTTTGCACTTTGCCATGTGGTCAGATAATAACGAAAATAAATAAATATTTTGATAATAATACTTGTTTTTTTAACTTTGTATCAAATTACTAAAAACGCTGTCTTAGTAGAATTGTTGTGAACATTGTCTATTAAAAAATATACTTTCATTAGAAAAAGTAAAATTTTTTAACAGTGCTATGTCTAAACAACAAGTTTTTAAAAGTTGTTCAATCAAAAATAACTAAATAAAGTTTTCTTATTACTTTTTTAGCTTTGCATCGGGAGAACCAACTTTTATAGCAGAAAAACTATTTAAATATCCTAACCTGGGAGCAATTTTAATTAAATTGAGCTAATTACTACATATATCCAAAAATCTTATAAAAGCCAACCTTTGTTTAACTTTATTTTATTTTATTCAAGATTTTAATTAACAAATTACCCTTTTTTGTACAGGTATGTTATCAACATTTATTTTTAAAATTCCTGGATCGGTTTTGGAATGGCCTCACAAGCTCATATGAAGGGCGAAAATCGCCAGGATGGCAGTTGCACTGATAGCCAAAAAGCGTCCTGCACCGGAGGCGTTACACAAGTCACCTTTGCAGGTGAAGCAGCTTTCCACCTGCCGGCTGTGGGTCACCGTGCACTCGTTCTCCTTCTGCCCGATGGATTCAAAGTGACAATCCCGGGATACGATAGTTCCAGCACGGTCTGTGGAAAGATATTTATAATTAATAATTACTTTGTTTGCTTAGAATATTTACTAAAAAGGAACAGCCAATTTATATTTTTTAATGGAACTGTTTGAAGAATGGTCTTTTAAATGTCCAAATTTTAAATTTATTTTCTTTTTATTTAAAAAACTCAAAGATTTAAGATTTGATTTTTTATATAATGACTTTGAAACAATCATTGCCTTGCTTTTACATTACAGTATAAACATTTTATATTAAAACCAAAAGCAATGGAATTTACTAGTGCTAGATATCAAATATTATTAAATTACAGACATTGTATTGCATATTACGCATTTGTTAAGATACCAATTTTATCTATCCCTTTAAAAAAGCCGCTAAGACATGCAATAAAAGGACTGCAGTTGAGCAAATATTAATATTCAAATATTGCATCTTTAACAAAAAACTAGCTGGCCATATTTCACACTGGTCGTAACAATGCACTGCAAATTACAGCTCTACAGCTAAAGTATTGAAAGTTATTTGTTTACTTCTAATGACTCATAACATGGTACACAAAATGTTTAAACAAATGATTAAATACATTTTCGCTTAAAACTCGAACAACAAACTTGTCACACATTAAAAGTGTTTTCTAAAATTTTTTTTAATTTTAGTTAATTTTTTTTTTGAGTTTTAATTTGATTTACAAAAAAAAGCGAACAAATTTTTATTTATATTTGTTCTTTAACCATTAACTTTACTTCTTAAAAGTTTAGCATAAGTTTGTATCGACAAACTATATTGCTTGAGTTTTCAAACCCTATATTTTTCCGCTTGAGCAACGCACTGTATCTGCTTTGCATACGATTTCTCAGTATGTGTTTTGTTTGCCATATGTTAATTTGAACGCGACCTCCCCCCTCTTTTGGATCTTGAAAAGTTCGTCCGGGTGACATCACGTCTTATAAAAGTGTTTATTGCGCTCAAGGTGCGTGCGCCTCCAATATTGGAATCAGTATGCAAGAGTCGATCTTCGTGAAATTTCACTCACCGCTGGTCACCACCTTGTTGCACCTGGTCACTGGCTGCAGTTGATCCATGGTGTTCGGTTTGGGCACACTATCGCAATCCACGGAACGGATGTTTGAGGAGGCATCGATCTTATCCTTGGCGCAGTTGGGATCCGTCAGGGATTTGCACTGGTAGCATTTAATGGCCGATGCTATAAATAAATTAAAAAATATATGCGATATATAAATTTAAATTCAGTAAATATTTATAAATTCACCCCAAAGGCTTTGTCAAGGTCGCCGATTTGAATTTGCTTAGCTTGTAACCAGTTTGTGATCTCCATTTCCCTCTCGATCTCACTCGTTTGCCCTATGAAACGCCCTCAGCCGAATAAACAATAACTCAATACCCACAAGATTCTCCAGACCCCTGTAATTTCTTAACTATGAAGTCATTCCTATATTCAATTTAAAAACGTACGCAAATGTACGTGAGTATATGTGTTTTTCTAGTCTTTTTTTGCTGCGTTAATTTATGCTTATATTAAAAATCCAGAAGTGGGCACACATTTTAAAAACATTTTTATTTGGTTGACGGCGATGACTTAATTCGAATGACAAATAAAAATGATTATTTTTTTTGGTTATGCTATTATAAGTTTCCATATTATGAAAACAATTTTTTTTTTTTTTTTTTAAATTGTTTTTAACTTCTTATAGAATGATTCTATAAATAATATTTCTAAGTTTTCCCTTATAAATACACTTTAAATACATTTTTGTAGCCCATATCTAAAATCGTTCTTCTAATTTTTCACTCAAAACTGGTTTTCTTTTGACACAGATTAGTTTAAATTGTAATTTACATATTTCTATATATTACTTCCCATTAGAAATGCCACCAGAAATGAAATTTCACTTACCACTGTGCATCAAGCACAAGGCAATAAGGAGAACACCAACCAGTTGTTTCAGCATATTGGCTATAATATTTAATTTATTGGGATCTTAAGTTTGAAAAAAATAGACGAGATACTTTTGGTTTGATCAGTTTGGCGGACGTTGAACAACTGAAATTAGTTTTGGGTTTGTTTTCGCGCTCTTCCCAATTGCAACTTGTTTTCAAGTGGGATCGCCAAGAAAAGCTTTGCTCATTCACTCACCAACTGGCATTAGTTGAGTGAAACTCGGAACGAGTTATTTGTTTGTTATGTCAAATAAGCGATCCACGCATTGGGGTCGCTGAAAATAAAACTATTTTGTTTTGATCAGCAGCTTCGTAGGCGGTCGAATTTTTTTTTTTTCTGTACCGCCGTTATGGGTCCATTGATTGTTGCTGGTGCTGTGAATTGACAACGGTTGAACTATTGAATTTGTTCTTCAATTGAAATTAGTTCAGATAATGAAATTAAATTGCATAGTGACACAGTTCTCTGATTTGGGTTATTGAACTTTTATTTGCGAGGTGAGAGACACAATTGATCGGCGTTTTTGCACTCATCCGATAGATCGAAAGGTGAATTTTAAAAACGAATGTTATTATTGTATAGATATTGGTAAACGGTTTAAAAAATCAAAAGAAAGCTTTATGTGATTAGCATTTTTATACCCTTGCAGAGGGTATTATAATTTCAGTCAGAAGTTTGCAACGCAGTGAAGGAGACGTTTCCGACCCTATAAAGTATATATATTCTTGATCAGCATCACTAGTAGAGTCGATCTAGCCATGTCCGTCTGTCCGTCCGTCTGTCCGTCTGTCCGTCCGTCTGTCCGTCTGTCCGTCTGTCCGTCCGTTTATATGCAAACTAGTCTCTCAGTTTTAAAGCTATCTGCATGAAACTTTTCCAAAAGTTGTCTTTCTATTGCAGGTAGTATATAAGTCGGAACGAGCCGGATCGGAAAAATAAAGGAAAAAAATTATAACTTTGCTGTTTTTTAATTTTTTGTTTAGTTCTTCGACATATAATAATGGTTAAATATTT